TCATTTGCATTTTATTGCATGACATAAGTATTTGATACATCAGGAAAGCGGAACTTAATATTTGGTACAGAAACCTTTGTTTGCAATTACAGAGATCATACGTTTCCTCTAGGTCTTGACCAGGTTTGCACACACTGCAGCAGGGATTTTGGCCCACTCCTCAATACAGACCTTCTCCAGATCCTTCAGGTTTTGGGGCTGTCGCTGGGCAATACGGACTTTCAGCTCCCTGCAAAGATTTTCTATTGGGTTCAGGTCTGGAGACTGGCTAGGCCACTCCAGGACCTTGAGATGCTTCTTACGGAGCCACTCCTTAGTTGCCCTGGCTGTGTGTTTTGGGTCGTTGTCATTCTGGAAGACCCAGCCACGACCCATCTTCAATGCTCTTACTGAGGGCAGGAGGTTGTTGGCCAACATCTCGCGATACATGGCCCCATCCATCCTCCCCTCAATACGGTGCAGTCGTCCTGTCCCCTTTGCAGAAAAGCATCCCCAAAGAATGATGTTTCCACCTCCATGCTTCACGGTTGGGATGGTGTTCTTGGGGTTGTACTCATCCTTCTTCTTCCTCCAAACACGGCAAGTGGAGTTTAGACCAAAAAGCTCTATTTTTGTCTCATCAGACCACATGACCTTCTCCCATTCCTCCTCTGGATCATCCAGATGGTCATTGGCAAACTTCAGACGGGCCTGGACATGCGCTGGCTTGAGCAGGGGGACCTTGCGTGCGCTGCAGGATTTTAATCCTGTGTGTTACTAATGGTTTTCTTTGAGACTGTGGTCCCAGCTCTCTTCAGGTCATTGACCAGGTCCTGCTGTGTAGTTCTGGGCTGATCCCTCACCTTTCTCATGATCATTGATGCCCCACGAGGTGAGATCTCGCGTGGAGCCCCAGACCGAGGGTGATTGACCGTCATCTTGAACTTCTTCCATTTTCTAATAATTACGCCAACAGTTGTTGCCTTCTCACCAAGCTGCTTGCCTATTGTCCTGTAGCCCACCCCAGCCTTGTGCAGGTCTACAATTGTATCCCTGATGTCCTTACACAGCTCTCTGGTCTTGGCCATTGTGGAGAGGTTGGAGTCTGTTTGATTGAGTGTGTGGACAGGTGTCTTTTATACAGGTAACGAGTTCAAACAGGTTCAGTTAATACAGGTAATGAGTGGAGAACAGGAGGGCTTCTTAAAGAAAAACTAACAGGTCTGTGAGAGCCGGAATTCTTACTGGTTGGTAGGTGATCAAATACTTATGTCATGCAATAAAATGCAAATTAATTACTTAAAAATCATACATTGTGATTTTCTGGATTTTTTTCTGGATTTTCTGGACCTCTACATGCTTTGTAAGTAGGAAAACCTGCAAAATCGGCAGTGTATCAAATACTTGTTCTCCCCACTGTATATGGCAAATATAAATCCTAAATGGATGGTGTTAAGATATAGATGGGAGGTGTTGAAGGATGGGACTAATAACAACAAATAATAACAAGATAACTAATAATGTAAGCATACTGTGTCCATATTAAGTATATAGGTTGTATGTTGGGAGCTTTTGGGAAAGAGCACAGTTAGAAAGATATGGCATATAGAAGCAAACCGGATGGACATCATGAAAATGATCGGAGAGGTTGAGAGGAGAAGTAGTTCAGGAGCAAAAACTAATAAAATAGAATTATTGTAAAATTGACTGTGTCCATAAAATGTAGATAGTAAGTATAAGCTGGAAGTAGAGGCCTAAGCATTGTTGTTCACTAATTTACCCCAAGTAGGGAAAGGATGGCGGGGTTGAAAAGTAATAAAGGGGAGTATATATATAAAAAACATGGGGGATTGGAAGTGATGCAGACAATTACATTGATGGAAGTTACAATCTATCTGCAATATTAAGCTGATCTACCCCCAAAAGAAAAGAAAAAAATAAACCACCGGCAGGCAGGTCTTCCGGCATGAGGTGGACCAGGCTGTGATCCTATTGGTGCTCCAATTGATGGTAGGGTTGTGTAGTCTGAGCCAGGGCAATCCCAAGATGATCCGGTGAAGGGGTGACATGACAATGTGGAATGACAGCTCCTCATGGTGCTTCGGTAGTGTGGGAATGGTGATGGTGATGGGGAGAGTGACGTGCGTAATGGTGCCTGATCCAAGGGGTTTATTGTCCAGTGAGGTGACGTGTAGCGGAGATGGCAGTGGCACGGTGGGAAGTGGAAGAGAAGGAATAACCAGTCACCGTTATGGGAACTAAAAACAATGGTTTGGTGATACTCATGGAGTCGGACGGGAGTTATACCACCTAGATAGGGAGCCGCCAGGAGATCTGTGGTCCGTGGTGGTGTAGGGGGTGCTGCCCACCTCCATGGGTGAGGACTCGGAAGCAAGGCGGCTTCCATAGCTCAGATGGGGTGAGCGTTGAGGCTCCGGAAGGTGTTGGGAACGCCGTCTCTCTCTCAACATGTCGTAAAGACGGATGGACGTGGTGATGAGGGTATCAAGGTCCAGCTCGTCGTCCCAACATGCGAGTTCCGTCTTGATGTCCTCCCGTAAGCCTCTCCTGAAGGCCGTGCGCAGAGCACGCTCATTCCAGCCGGAAGACGCCGCCACCATTCGAAAGCTCAGAGCGTACTCGGACGCGGGCCCCTCTCGCTGTTGTAGATGGAGGAGATGCTCACCCCCGTCCTTTCCCTCTATGGGATGATCAAACACCGCCCTGAACCGAGCGAGGAAGGTAGGGTAGGGAAGCGCCACTGCCTCCTCTTCTTCCCAGACTGCCGCGGCCCAATCCAGCACCTTTCCTTTAAGTAGCGAAATCACCAACGCTATCCTGGCTTGGTCAGATGGATATGCCCCAGGCTGACGTGCCAGATAAAGTGAAACCTGTAGCAGGAAGCCGTTACATTTAGTAGTTTTACCGTCATAGCGCTCCGGTAGGGCGAGGGTTCCCGAAGAAGTGGGTGATAGCACGGGAACAGGTGGATTGGGGGCACTCACCGCTCCCTGAGGTGGAACCGGAGCGCTGGGCAGATTATGCAGAGTTTGGAGCACTTCCTGCATGGTGGCGTTCAACTGGGCAAGCTGCTGCTGGTGCTGGTCCAGGCACTGGGAAACTCCTGCTGCATCCATTTTCATTTGGTGTGTGATTCTGTGACGAGTACTGAGTATACGAAGAGGCAGGACGCAGACGCAGGAATTAACAAGTTCAAGGTTTACTTAACAAAGAGAAATAACAAACATAGAGTAATTGACACGAAGCTAAACAATCACACACAACATCATACAGAACAGTCCAGGGCTAAACAGGGGTGGTGATGAGATGATGAGGTGCAGGTGCGCTGGAGATGATTAGGGTGCGTTGGGTTTCCATTCCGGTGTTGCCGAGGTGGTGTGCTCAGACCGGTAGCTCAGTAGACCGGCGAATCAGAGCGCTGGAGGGGAGGAACGGGAGGAGATGTGACACACCCTTTGCCTTGATGACAGCTTTGCACACTCTTGGCATTCTCTCAACCAGCTTCATGAGGTAGTCACCTGGAATGCATTTCAATTAACAGGTGTGCCTTTTATTGCCTTTAATTTATTTCCTTCTTAATGCGTTTGATCCAATCAGTTGTGTTGTGACAAGGTAGGGGTTGTATACAGAAGATAGCCCTATTTGGTAAAAGACCAAATTCATATTATGGCAAGAACAGCTCAAGTAAGCAAAGAGAAGCGACCGTCCATCATTACTTTAAGACATGAAGGTCAGTCAATCCGGAAAATGTAAATAACTTTTAAAGTTTCTTCAAGTGCAGTCGCAAAAACCATCAAGCGCTATGATGAAACTGGCTCTCAGGAATGGAAGACCCAGAGTTACCTCTGCTGCAGAGGATAAGTTCATTAGAGTTAACAGCCTCAGAAATTGCAGCCCAAATAAATGCTTCACAGAGTTCAAGTAACAGACACATCTCAACATCAACTGTTCAGAGGAGACTGTGTGAATCAGACTAAGAAACCACTACTAAAGGACACCAATAATAAGAAGAGACCTGCTTGGGCCAAGAAACACGAGCAATGGACATTAGACTGGTGGAAATTTGTCCTTTGGTCTGGAGTCCAAATTTGAGATTTTGGGTTCCAACCGCCGTGTCATTGTGAGACGCGGTGTGGGTGAACGGATGATCTCTGCATGTGTATTTCCCACCGTAAAGCATGGAGGAGGAGGTGTTATGATGTGGGGGTGCTTTGCTGGTGACACTCTGTGATTTATTTAGAATTCAAGGCACACTTAACCAGCATGGCTACCACAGCATTCTACAGCAATACGCCATCCCATCGGGTTTGGGATTTGTGGGACTATCATTTGTTTTTCAACAGGATAATGACCCAACACATCTCCAGGCTGTGTAAGGGCTATTTTACCAAGAAGGAGAGTGATGGAGTGCTGCATCAGAAGAATGGCCTCCACAAACCCCTGACCTCAATCCAATTGAGATGGTTTGGGATGAGTCGGACCGCAGAGTGAAGGAAAAGCAACCAACAAGTGCTCAGCATATGTGGGAACTCCTTCAAGACTGTTGGAAAAGCATTCCAGGTGAAGCTGGTTGAGAGAATACCAAGAGTGTGCAAAGCTGTCATCAAGGCAAAGGGTGGCTATTTGAAGAATCTCAAATATAAAATATATTTTCATTTGTTTAACACTTTTTTGTTTACTACATGATTCCATATGTGTTATTTCATAGTTTTGATGTCTTCACTATTATTCTACAATGTAAAAAATAGCTAAAATAAAGAAAAACCCTTGAATGAGTAGGTGTGTCCAAACGTTTGACTGGTAGTGTAATGATCTTCATCATTGTCCTACCTAGAACACATCTAGAATGTTCCAACAACTACGGTGGATGCGTAAACAAATCAGTGGTTTGAAAAGTGTATAAGGTCAGTCACATCATCAACAGCTAGCCTGCTTTACGATACCCTGATCCTGACTGGAATGTTAATCTGCGTTGTGCTACTAGCAAAATGTCAGTGCCCTTACCTCTCTCGTTTGGTGCTGGCCAGCCACTGTACGAAGTCTTTAGCCTTGATCTTGTCCAGGTAGTGGGTGTAGTCATTAGTGAAAGTTCCATCTGAATGCCTTTTGAAGCTGTTGATGCCATTCTGTTCTTTCTCCAGCTCATATGTACGCCACCTGGGAGAAACATGGCGTGATGAGGGGCCACAGGGTTTAGTATCCTTATGATGTGCATGTTAATAATTACTTTAATAATTACAAAATCCTGATTGAAAAATCTTCTGTTTTAAAATCTCCAAAATGGACTCTATTCAATTGCAATTTCAATTTACTCCCTGGACTGACTGGATTGACTTTTATTCAGTAATTTCAATTTAACAAGGTAACTAACTTGATAAGATAAGATAGATAAGATAAGAGAGATAAGATAGATAATATCAGATCAGATAAGATAAGATAGATAAGCATTGAGAGTAGCCTAAGGTGTTACCCTGACTGGCTGGCTAAGGCTTTGTCCTCCAGCACCGTCTCATCAGAACCAGGACAGAGCAACAGGAGCAACAGACACCACACTGAACCACACATCCCTGGGTCTGGGTCTGGGTCAGGTCAGGTCCCCTCACTGGAGAAACAGGGAGAAGAGCAAGTGAACATTAACCTAGACTGAGTCTTGAAGACTTGTGTTGGCTCCCCAAGCGAATGCGTAGGCTTTATCTCAGTGGGCTAACACAGTCTTGTGGCTCGCAGAAGAGCCGAATTCAAACCCAGTCGATCAAACAAACATGCAGTCAATGGATGAGTTTTAAAACTGACCTTTTAGAATGTGCAGCAGCAGAAGTGTTGATGCTGGTCCTTGGATGTCTTCCTCCAGCCTATGTTGCTTGGGCGCATGCAAGAGGAACTGCTGGGAGCTGAAGCCTATTGTAGCCAACACACACTACCTAAAACACTATCTGGGAGAGAGAGGTACACTGCACACTACTGCAGCGTCAAGACACTTTGAGAGACAGGGGCTTCTTCTCACAAACCACTGGAGATCTGTCATCATCCCTGTCACTTTATAAGGAGACCAGGTGTCTTCCTGTGACAGTTAGGTCATCTCCCACGCTGTTGGATCCACAAGGGGCTCTCTTAACACTGTCCGAAGAATATCTCTTTCTCTCTCTCTCTCTTTCTCTCCCTCTCTCATTATAGTAGTCCACATGATGCTCTGGAGACCCTCTCGCTCTCTGTCTCTCTCTCTCTTTCTATCGCTCTTGTTCTCCCCTCTCATTATGGTGGAAGTTATTGAGTCATTGGAACCTGTTTGAGGTGACCTCTCCATACAGGTCAATGAGTCAGAGTCAGTGACGACTGTCTCTCATACAGCAGGTGTGAACATGGCACGAAGAGATAGAGATGGATAGAGGACGCACTTGCCGCAAAGCCTCTTTTAGCATGGGCAGCACCATTTGGGCTTCCTCCATTTTAAAGTAGTCAACTTGGTGGGATTTGCTATGGGTTAAGGAGCGATCACAGAATTCCATTCAGATCACCAGGAGGGATCAGCCAATGAATTATACAGAATTATGGCAGTAAATCACCAACCTGGCTTTATACCTGTTCAGACGACACACTCCAGGTGGTGGTATGCACAATTTCTGTTTGTTTACAAACTGCCAATAGAAGTGAACAGTTAAAATGGAGATGGCGTTCATTATGCTGTCACAGAAGCTGTCATAACAAAGATAGGTGTGTCCTCTTTCCCATCTCTATGTTGACTCCATCAGCTATAGAGTTTGAGTAAGCATCCAACTGTAGGTTTAGAGAAGATTATAGTTAAAACCTTTAAATGTTACAATAGTCTCTTCTGACATACGTTAACATTTTATAAATGTCAAACTAAGTAGCTAGATTTTTGTGCAAGGGGGCGCGTCGGGGGGCGCTGTGAGAGTTATTTAAGATACTCTTCAAAGAGGGAGGGTTTCAGACGTTTTCGAAAGAGGGGCAGGAACTCCGCTGTCCTGACTTTAGGGGGAAGCTTGTTCCACCATTCAGGACAGAGAAGAGCTTTGACTGGGCTGAGCAGGAGCTGCCTTCCTGTAGGTCCGGGAGGGCCAAGAGACCAGAGGTGGCACAACTGAGTGCTCGGGTTGGGATGTAGGGTTTGAGCATAGCCTAAAGGTAAGGAGGCACAGTTCCCCTTGCAGGTCCGTAGGCAAGCACCAGGGTCTTGAAGATGATGCGAAGCCATTGGAGTGTGCAGAGGAGTGGGGTGACATGGGAGAACTTAGGAAGATTGCACACCAGGCGGGCTGCAGCATTCTGGATAAGTTGCAGGGTATTGTAGGCACAAGCGGGGAGCCCAGCTAACAGAGAGTTGCAGTAGTCTAGACGGGAGACGACAAGTGCCTGGATTAGGACCTGCGCCACTTCCTGTGTGAGGAAAGGTCGTACTCTATGGATGTTGTAGAGCATGAACTTGCAGGAGCAAGTCACTGTGTTGATGTTTGCAGAGAACCACAGGGTGTTGTCCAGGGTCACGCCAAGGTTCTTTGCACTCTGGGAGGGGGACACCGTGGAATTTTCAACCGTGATGGAGAGGTCTTGGAGCAGTTTGAGCTTGAGGTGGTGGGCCGACATCCAAGCTGAGATGTCTACCAGGCATGCAGAGATGTGTGTCGCCACCTGGGTGTCAGAAGGGGGAAGGAGAAGAGTAGTTGAGTGTCGTCCTCATAACAATGATAGGAGAGACCATGTGAGGATATGACGGAGCAGAGTGACTTTGTGTAAAGAGGAGAGGGCCTAGAACCGAGCCCTGGGGGACATCAGTAGTGACAGCACGTGGTGCAGATACAGATCCTCTCCACGCCACCTGGTAGGAGTGACCTGCCAGGTAGGATGCAATCCAGTAGTGTGCAGAGCCTGAGACGGCCAAACCTGAGAGGGTGGAAAGGAGATTCTGATGGTTCACAATAATGCCTTGCAATCTGGAGGGTGGCCTTTTGCATCCCCCCAATGGTCCAAATGTGGAATCTGTACCCATACCGATGTCATTGGCAGTAATGGTTTGAGAACATTTCAAGATTTGAAAGACACACACATTACCAGGCAACTCCTATTTTCTATATTTACAATTTAGGTCAGCTATTCTGGCCTATGGAGGCCCTTGGGAAACCCAACTACCGAACCATCCAATGATGGGATTTATAAATAGATTATCTGTGCTTCCGAAAGGACTGATCTCTATAATATACAGTATACTGAACAAAAATATAAACGCAACATGCAACAATTTCAAAGATTTTACTGAGTTACAGTTCATATAAGGAAATCAGTCAATTGAAATAAATTCATTAGGCCCTAATCTATGGATTTCACATGACTGGGATTACAGATATGCATCTGTTGATCACAGATACCTTTTAAAAAAGGTAGGGGCGTGGATCAGAAAACGAGTCAGTATCTGGTGTGACTACCATTTGCCTCATGCAGCGAGACACATCTCCTTCGCATAGAGTTTATAAGGCTGTTGATTGTGGCCTGTGGAATGTTGTCCCACTCCTCCTCAATGGCTGTACGAAGTTGCTGGAAATTGGCGGGAACTGGAAACACACTGTTGTACACGTCGATCCAGAGCATCCCAAATGCTCAATGAGTGACATGTCTGGTGAGTATGCAGGCCATGGAAGAACTGGGACATTTTCAGCTTCCAGGAATTGTGTACAGATCCTTGCGACATGGCGATGAAACATGAGTTGATGGCGGCGGATGAATGGCACGACAATGTGCCTCAGGATCTCGCCACGGTATCTCTGTGCATTCAAATTGCCATCAATAAAATGCAATTGTGTTCGTTGTCAGAGTAGGCCAGAAGGCTAAACTGAAAAACCTAACCTCTATCAAATAAACCGATGGCGGAGCCGCAAAAGTACTTCTGTGCAAGGGTGTTTATTTATATTGTGATTCCGGAAGAAAAACAGTATACATTATGGGACTGCTAAAACAGTGTTGCCCCATCAACATCTCAATCAAACCGGTCCCCCTCTTGAACTGAAAGAGAGACTCCTTTTGTAGGGGAAGCCCCTCCCATCAGAACATACCAAACTCTTTAATTAATTAAGCAATTACCAACATCAAAGCCTACATTTTCCACTCAGCTAAACATATCATGAATTATATTCATTGAACCTTTGCAATCGGTTTATCATAATACAATATAACACAATATAACACATTTACAGAATCCCATCACCCTTTGATAACAGGTGGCGATGGGGTGAGGTTGTGTTTCTCTAAGCGGGAGGTAAGCTTGGCTTCTTCTTTATATGGTGTTGAGTAAAGCTTAAACCATTTAGATTGTAGGTAGGTATTGTAGTTAGGTATTGTAGGTAGTTTATCTAGGTAGTTATTGTAGGGAATTATTGTAGGTAAGTATTGTATTCGGCTGAGCCCGGTGAAGCACGAGGCTAGCTAACCCACTACCTGGACCAATAAAGCTAGCTAGCGGGTAGCTACTGGTAACAGCTGGATAGTTGTTTCCAATGTTATTTCACGCTTAAGAGTACCTGTAATTATGCCAGCTAGCTACCTACCATTCAGCTGTTTTTCTAACCTCATTATCTGAAGTGTTAACGTTAGGTAGTTAGTAGCTACTGTACTCGAAATGTAGCTAGCTTGTTGCTACCTGGATCGCTAACTAAACAATAGCTGGAACGACCTAGCTGTAATGTTTGGCGATGCTTTCTCTCTGTTGGGACAGACGCGAACTGGCTAAATCGATTCAGTAGCTAGCTTTACACTTAACTAACTAACAGTAGCTACTAAGGGTAAGTTATAACCTACATTTATTTTTATTTTATTTTTACATACTGGTAACCAGAGTCGTTCAAAAGGAATTCAAGACATGGGTAACTAGTTAACGTTAGTTTGGCTCTCTCTGTGTGTTTCATACCGTGGGAGGAGGGGTTGGTTCGTTGACGGAGAACAATGGCTAGCTAATATGCTAACTATTCTAGCTAGCTAACTAACTGGCTGAATAAGTTGACGACGTACTCACTCAAACTGTCAAAACTAACCCCAAAACTTCACACAGCGTTAGACACGGACACAAATTATCTGTTTAGCGTGTTTACACACGATTGGTAGTTTGTTGTAACCGAGTATTGGTGCTAAACCGTGTTATTGGAAGCTAGCATGCTAGTTAGCTATGGCGTCATAGGATACGGTGCCCTGGGCGGTTTTCACGGAAGAATACTGCACCAAGTTAGCTAGCTGTTAGAGTCTATTCCTAGAAAACATTGAACCGCTGTAGTTTACAACAATTATAATTTCTAAAGTGGAAGTTGGGAGAGTTATATTTGAGTGTTTCAGTGAAATGTAAGTGAGGGAGGCCCCGCTCTCTCGCTTTCCCAGATGTTTAGTTAATTTCATTCCGATCTCCTTGGCATTATTGTAGCCTTTTCTGTAGCCTGTCAACTATGTGTCTGTCTATCCCTGTTCTCTCCTCTCTGCACAGGCCATACAAACGCTTCACACCGCGTGGCTGCTGACACTCTAATCTGGTGGTCCCTGCGCGCACGACCCACGTGGAGTTCCAGGTCTCC